TGACAACAATTCATTAATAAGTTTTGCCTACGCAAAATGTGCTTTCATGTTCTTTATCGCCCAATTTTTTTTCTAACAGTTGGTGATTAATTTTGCACTTTTTTTTTAATTCAATGCTGACTTTTCTAGCACCTCAGGCCGATAATATCATGTTTTAACAATAGCCTATGTCAATTTGCCTGGCGCTCTGGGTGTTTCACGAAATTCGTCATCTACGTCACCGATATCCAACCTCCATGAAAAACAGTGGCTGACAATAGCGAACGATGTCGAGGTCTTTATATATTATCAATCTAAAATGCCTTTATAGAAAAATCTAGTTATGTAGCATTCTTTTTAGCCAAGCTTTAGCTACGGAGGTTTGTTTTCGAGGGAAATCAGTACTGTTGAATTTTGTTTGTATTTTAAGACAGGGTAAATCCTAACCCCAAGAGAAGGGCGTTTTATAGGGATTTAGATAACAATGTCATTGTCCCTGCGGTTGGAAACTTTACATGTTTTGCTTTCAATTGTGGGTAATGGCTACGGTTTCAAATGACGATGCATAGAGCTGTCAGTTTTATAAAATCAAACTTTCCGATTATGTCATATTGTGAACACATTTAATGCCGGAAAAACCCTTTAAGTTACAGCGATGAAATGTAATTTCAATGAAACTTTACAGTGCAGGATTGATTGGTAGGTGAAGTTCATGCATGCAATTGGCTATCGCTCTTGTTAAATGAGCGAATTTAAGTTTTCAATTCGTCTCCAGTTTTTTTATGTTTTTGTTTTCATGATAGAAAGTCATTGTAACTTTTTAAATTTCATTTTTATTCATTTTATTCTTTTACTGTATGTTTATGTACGCAGATCTTTCTTTTCCATTTGCTTTAGATGACCGGATCTGTCCTGTGCACTTAACCTGTGCACGTGCAAAAGAAATACCTCTCAACGGACTTTCTTTAGTTTGAAGAGATCTAGAACTGCTACGAACAGAGTTTGTGCGGCTGTGGTAACAGTGCAGTGACGGCTCACTTTTCCTGCTTTGGTTTTCAAGATTTTATTATTCACTCAATACACAATACATGTAAATATGAGGTAAATAACACGTTTGCAAATTTAGATCAAAGAGTTGAGACCTTTTTTGGGGGGGGGGGAGGATCTATATGTTTAAACAGGCATGTCATTGCTCTTCTGTGAAATTAAACAGGTTACCTTCTTGCACTGACTCTTTCACTAGCAACCAAAATATATCAGTAAAATTGTTGTCAATAAAATTAATTGAACCTTTTTTAAAAAAACATTTACATTAATCGCTTTGGTCCGAATCGCCAGAGACTTTGATTTTTTCATTTGAAAGCTATCTAGCTATAGCTTACGAAACGTAGATGATCATAGTCATGTGCTCGTCCGTGAAACTGTACACATAGTCTTCGCTGGAAAGTCGCAATGTGACAATTACAGAGTTGTTGCCACGTGATCCCCACGCACGTTCACGCTTATGTGTTTAGCAAAAAGATTATGAGTAGTGGAAAAATACCGCGTGCAATATATGTACTGGCACTTTGCTTTGTTAATTAATTGATAAAATGTCAAATTAAGTGAAAGTTGTCAAGCCGTCAAGTTATGCGATACTTCAAAATATCTACTGGATATAGTTGTGAAAATGATTTGAATAGGATACCAGGAACAATTTTAAGTGACAATTCACAATTGTAAATGTATAAAGATGTGAAGATACATAACACTTACAAGATTTTTACGTCTTTTGTCATAATAGTTAACACTAGTGAAATCAAAGAACTGAAAGCACTATAGGAGTCCGATTGTCACATTTCACAAACATATACAACAGGGCATCGTTGAATAATCTCGGTTGATTTACATTGTTATCAAGCAATTGTTAATGGTTTGGTTGTGGGTATCCGACAATGATAACAGGATGGTCATAGTGAGAAATTACATCAGAAATAATTATGGAGTTGAATTATGAGTGACAGCACACATAAATAATACAAATTATTGTTTTACAAGTCAGTTTTCTTATATTAAAACGTATTGAAGCAGTGTTAAGCGCACAATTTTGTCTTTCCTGCGGTTCCATAGTTTCAATTTCCAAAAGACGTATTTTATTTAAACACTCGGTGTTAAGGACCCCTGATTTATGTTATTTCATCTCTAAAAACGACCCTCTTTTGGCATTTTTGTGATATTCGAAGGTACATAAACTTGTACAAGACTTGCATGTTACGTTTTGAACTGAAATTACGTCCACAACACTCTGGTTGGAACAGAAATGATTTTTGAAAAGTCTTCAATATTGAGAAGTGTTAAAGCAGTTCGAGTTTCACACCTTATTAAATGTAACAAATATACTCTGCCAGCGTTTGCACCACGTGATCTTCCAATATAAATCATTATTTGACCAAATCTTATCAATTTAGACTCGTTTTCAATTTAAGTGTTTAAAGGCAATATTGTACTCCATCCTAGTCCAAAACAACTATATCAATCCATATTTTACTCTGTCTAGCCTTGTTTTCATTTTCAAAAGTAAAAAACCCATCTATTTTAATTCCATATTGTTCTTAAAGCAACAAACTTCAAAATATAAACTGATTAGTGGTGTGAAATAAAGAGGTCATTATACACTGTCGAGTATAATTCTGAGCTGCAAGACAAATATAAGAATTAATGGGCTATTGCCTCCTCCAATTTAAATTTTACAGCTGCGTACTCGTCAAATAAAATTAATTATCTCTAGAACTAATTTGTTTCAGCGTTTGCACCACTTGATGTTCCAAAATAAATTATAATTGGATCCAATCTATCAATAAAGCCTCGTTTTAATTTTCGAACTCCAAAAAGTCCATATCAAAACCATATCGCACCCAATACAGTCCATTTTCTTTTTCCAGAATCCAAAAAGTTCATATATAATCCATATCGCACCCTTTAAGCCTCGTTTTCATTTTAGAGTCCAAAACAGCATTGTCAAATGTATATCATAATTCATCTAACCTAATTTTCATTTGAGTCAGTCAAAAATTCGAGATTAAATCCTTATTGTAATTATAGAAACAAAGTTATGCATGTATGAAATAAAAAGGTCATTATACATTCGTGAGAACAGTATCCATTCTACAGGATTTTACACAGATGCAAAACCTATATTAAATTCGACTTATGCCTCGTCTCAGCTGTGTACTCGTCCAATAGAATTCAATAGTGAACTCAACAATGATTATGTATATATATTAAAATCTCAAAGTTACATAACGAAGTTAGTACATTGTATTTTGCATTCAGATAAGACTTTATATGATTCTATTAATGTATTATTACACATATTTGATTACAATACAGAACTCATTTGGACGAATATACAATTGGTAAAACTAAAACTATTTAGGCAAGGCACTTGCCGGCTCTAATGTAGGTTTTTGCTGCTGTGTACGAGTCTAAAATAATCAGTATTTGTATTTGAAGTTGAAATGGTGAACTCATGAAGTTGAAATCGTGAATTCATGAAATTGAAATCGTGAATTAAAGAAGTTGAAATCGTGAATTCATGAAGTTGAAATAGGGAATTCGTTAAGTAAAAATCGGGAAATCGTGAAGCTGAAATCAGGAATTCATGAAGTTGAAATGTCCCAACCGGTCTTTCGTACATAATGGTGATCACTTGTGCAAAGTTATTTCAAAATTTTATCAGCGGTTCAACAATTTGGAGCGGGCACGAAATGTACACTTTTCAACACTTGACCTTTAAGTGCGACCTTGAGCTTGGGGCTAGCAGCCCTATTATTGCGCTGTGCACATTGTCTCATAATGGTGATCTCATTTCAAAAAAAAAATCAGAGGTTTAAAAGTTATGGAGCGGACACCGAAGTATTATGGAGGCCTCTTCCTGCTACGCGGAAGGGGATTCACTAAACCATCAGAACCCAGAAGTAAATTAATCCATCAACACTGGAGGCGGTAACTAAACCATAGGCATTGGAGAGGTTTTCTAAACCATCAGCAATGGAAAGGTTAACTATACTATTACAACTTAACGTTGATTTAACCTTCAGCACTGGAGTGGTTTAATTAATCATAAAACACTTAAGAGGTTAAATAAAATCATCAATTTTTGAGAGGTAAACCTTTAGATTGGGAAGGTTAAAAACAACAGCACTGGAGAGGTTAACTAAACCATCGGAGGCTTATTTCCTTTTTTTAATTGTTAAATGAATAAGAAAACATATACTTAGCTTATAAAATTATATTTAATGCTTATACAACATTGTCACAGCCTGCTGTGGCTATTTACATAACAAATAATAATAACAAAACATACACGCTTTAGGTTCAAAAAATAAATAACCCAAATACTACATCATTTAGAAGAGTTAAACATATACAACCTTCCAGACTTTATATAGAATATCACTGTTATAAAATAACCTTTAACAATAAATAATAATGAATGAATTCAATTTTTTCTAGTAAATGATGTAGAGGGTAGCTATAACAATTACAAAACATATTTATTTTATCCTTTTAGCATACATGTATGATTACTTATGTATGATCACTTGATGATCTGTACAATATTTAATAAGTCATGGAAAAATCAATGCCAGATGTACATACTTCATAGAGTAAAATGTTAACAGTTTTTCACAATATACAATCAAAAACATTTGTGGCAACATTTACCAATTTAGATAAATCTAAAGCTTAATGCTACCGAAGTATTTCCCCATGTTACCTTAAATCCTTTAATTTCTATTCCAAGGTTTAAAACTAAAGCATGGTTGTCTACAGATACAGGGTATATGAATTCTTTACTGATATGTATTGGTATGGTTTGAGCTTGACCATAGTTAATTAGTCATCACCCAATTCTTCAGGAAAAGAAAACAGTCCCAAGCCAATTGTTAGAAAAAGAAATTTAATCTATCCCATTCGTATTGTTCAAAAAACATTCTTTCAATGAGAGCACATAATTGTATACTTTTTCCCTCTGCTCATACAACACATGTTTTTTCCTAATCTCATCCAAACCTTTTATGCCAGAACACATATGTTTTTTTTCTTTGAACTGTTCTGCAAACATGCAATATGTCTGTAGTCATAGCAACAATATAAAGTGTGTTCAATCTTGATTACATTTATATGCTCTAATTATGTCTCTGATAGGTGCCCTACACACGGGACACTTGGCATTTCTGTCCATTAGATGTCTGCCACATGGGAAGCAGACGCACATGTGACCACACTGATACAGCACCGAGTCACTATGATTATCCAAGCATATCAAACAATGAGTATCATTTACAGGCTGCGCCCTGCCCGTGGTCGCACTCTGCGGAGGTACAGTGTTCGAAGCAACATTTCCACCTGAAATTAATGATCATAAATTAACTTTTTTGTATGCTTTCTACTAAAATAATTCTTATAAATTAAACAAAAAAGATATTAATGGAGAGACAAATGGATATTTCTGAGTATCAAATGTCATTGACAGATTGTAGGACTGATAGTACCACCATATATGTCATAAATATCAATGTTATGTAAACCCTTATTTCATATGAGCTTTGTAAGATTTTTCAAACAGGTGCAAAATATTTTTCAAACAGGTACAAAATATAGATAATGTATATACTCTGATTTCCTACAAGTCTAAATGTCATAAATTTTACCTAGCATATCTCTTTTGGTTTTAGTAGGTACAAATGCATTTATATATAGATCCCTATCATTATTTTGTTTTTCAAGTAAATATGCCCTGATGCTGCTGCCTTGCTAGGTAGGATCAACTAGAAATATCATGGATGTAGTATTAATAAGAAACTATATGTGGTGAATCATTTAGCAGTGCCTACTAGGGTGTTTTGCTAGGATTAAGAAATTACCTGTAGCAGCAGCAATGCCTGCAGCCACTTCCTGTCTAATAGCTCTTTGAATATCCAACTGGAGGTCAAAACTGACCTTCATCATGTTTTTCATCTCTTGCAATTGTGCTTTCAGTGAGGCTATCTCCCTGCTCATGTGAAGATTAGTCTGAAATGGTATGTGATAAAAATCAGATTATGTAACCATTTTTTAAGTCATTTACTTAATACCTTTGGCATGCTTTGGCCAGTCTTTATTACGCCAGTCTTTATTAAATCAACTATTACTACACTATATAAAGAATGAAAGACCATGAAGTTATTTTTTTTCTGAGTTCAGTCTCAATTCTCAGAATTTTCATTGTCAGTGAACATTCTGTGGCAATTTCTGACCAATTAAAACCTGAGATTTGAGCTTGAGCTTATAGAATTACTTTTTAACCTCTGACAGTGCTTTTACTTTAATATTTTTCATCCAGTATCTTTCACAACTTATTCAAATTTATGTTTGCTAAATTTCTATATTTGTGTAAAGGACTTGCCATGATTTGAATATGGAATGTGCATTTTGTTCTCTTTTTGTATACACAAGATGCTGGCTATTCAGTACAGCTTAAGAAAATTCAACTAATATTGAGCACTTCTAAGTCATTTTCTTGGAAGTCATAACAGGAAACAAAGCAGTTGGTCAAGTAGAGCTAAAAAAAACAACCCTTAGGTTGAGAAGCAGACTCTAGGCCACTGCTTCCCCCACTAAAATCGCTTCAAGAGACAAGAAACATAGTCTCTGGGTGGAGAAACAGTACCTACTGTTCAGAAAGCATTGACATTAAGAAATATTGTACAAACCTGAGTATATGGTACAGCGGTGGCACTAATGCTGGTGATAGAGGCAGTCTCCCAGTTCTCTCCTGGTGGTGGTATACCAATGTTAGAGAAATCATTCTGAATGTGAGGATGACTCTGGGGAATTGAACGAATAAACTCCTGTACTCTATGTCCATCTGTTCCTGTAGCATCAACACGATTCTGTAAGGTATAAAAACATAACAGATTAAGAGACTTACATTATTCAAATTTTTTAATACTGCACGTTTGTAACGTCGCTTTTCATTGGTTAATCATGACATTTATATAGTTTTATATACAGGCAGCTGTCAAATTATGAAATAAACTTACTTTTTTCTCTGAAAAAAGATGCTTGCTGTATTATAAATTTGTTTTTCCAACAGGTTATATGACCAAATATAAATGGCTGTTTGCAATTTAACCATTTATATAGGGCGATTTAACCTGTCAAAAATCTTTATAACTGATATAATATATAAGCTTTCAAGCGTTTAGTAATATATATAATATTAATTCATATATACTTTTCAGATAGTTAGATATGTTATAAAACATGTGGTAAACCACCCTCCAATCTTCTTCCTGGACTAAACTTTATCAGTGTCACATGAAAAAATTATGGATGTTACATGTATCATCCATTCTTCACTTCATGCTAGTTAATACTTTCATCTAATTGTGAAAGTTGCAAGAAGACAATGCACTGACATTGATAATAAACCTTTAATATAAATGTATGTCTCGACTAAAATACTAGATCAAAAAGGTATCTGAAAAAAAAAGTAAAAAAGTACCCTGATATGGAGTTCCAAAACATTGCGAAATTCTCCGTCTAAGGTGGATGTAACAAGTCTACGATGTACAAGCTCACTGACCTCCTGCACGAGACTTTCTTGTTGAATCTCCTCAACAATATTCCAGTCAACATTTACTGGCCTAAAACAAATAGAATGTTTGATTTATAATTCTTTAATCTTTTATGTTACGGCAACAAGGCTTGTTAATTATTATACAGTTTCATCAATGAAGGATCACATCTATACTTTAATATCAAACACTTATTTTGATTGCATGATTAAGATTTATTATCTAAAGATACGTAGCACCATTCAAACGATTAACACTCTAAAAGCAGAAAATTCTAAGAAGCAGAGTGCTCAATTTTCAAGATTCTTCTAAAATTGATATTGATAGTTAGAGAAGATGTTATTATTTATTGTTATCTTTCTCAGATTCCACTAAAATTTCGCAAAAACAATCTTTTTTTTAAAAAACTTCATCACTTTGTCAAAAAGCAGACATCACTCATATGTATAAGTATATGAAGAGCCAAACTCTTTTTGCAATATATTCACCTTGTGATATCAAAGTTCTACAGGAATGAAACAAAACAATTGACATACCTTTCTTGAGCATGTGCAGGCATAGGAGGTGGGGGTGGTGGTGGAGTAGCATTATTAGTCAATACAGCACCAAGCAAACCTGGTAAAATTAAAATATAAACATTTAATTACAAAAATGAATCCATGTAATTTCTATTTATGGTTTGCAAAATGTATCAACATTTAAATTAATCTTAACAAAATATTTTGAGAAGAATCTGGAAAATCGTCAATGAACTTTCACCCCCGTGACCACACCCTAACTGACATCATAAAATAAAAGCCAGTCAAATGACAAGTCACCACTATGTATATCTTATTATGCATAAGTTTTAATTAACTACAAATGTATTTTGAAGTCAAAAACATCAATGTTGTAAAGGTTTAAAAACAAAGTGTAGAATACCGGATCTAGAACATTAATTTTAAAATGCTTTTAGATTTCAAGTATTGTGTTGATACCGAAAAGAAGACAGCAGTCTGATGAATTTCATGACAATTCATATAAAGAAGAGAAAATGTGTAAGTATCCAAGTCTCATAGGTTGTTATAATGTAAATGTTTAGGTTCTTTTTTTGTATCTCATTTACTGACAATAAACTTACCTCTAGGGTCTTGAACTCTTGTGTTATAATCAACAGATACACTAGAAGAAGATGTTGTGCTGTGGCTTGATACACTGTCTCGTCGCTCAGCAACAACAGGTGTAGGTTCAGTAACAGGAGTCTGAAATAAATGATATTATTATATAGTATATAGTTGACTGAAGAGTTAGCTACAGTGTAGTCATACTAATCTGCTTTTATACTTGAATTACAAACAAATTCTGTGATGTTTAACGAAAGTTTGTTAATCCCTTTTTAAACATGTATCATCTAAATAGAACATAATAAAATATACCATACAGATACATTTAATGCAAGTTCTGCTGATTAAAATTGTTAAAATCCTACAGAAGTCTATTTACATCACATTGACCATAACTGAATAAATGTGATATATCTTAAAGGACAGTTTGAGAAAAAAAACAACACAGAATGTAAAAATTATTAAGCCTAGATATATATCTACATCTACAAATCATTCCCGAACAATCAATTCTGACCATATATGTATCAATCAATTCTGACCATATTTATATTATACATAATATTATGAATAATATGGTCATTATTGATTGATACATACTTTGATGAACAAAAGTAATCTTGTATCATTATTACATTTATATCTAATAAATGATAACAAATCTATGTCGGTACCTGTTCTCTGACTGGGGTATTTGCAGGTGATGGAGTTGGTCTATTCGAAGATACAGGACTGTGATTCTGTGCTACTGATCGAATACTTCCACGAATGATACCCTCAAGGTGTCGACGGAAAGCTGCAGTTTGCAATGTATTTGATACTCTTTGTTGTTGAGAAAGGCCTTGGATTTCAATTACAACAGCCTCAGGTCTGTGCTCTTCGACATTGCTTGTATTAAACGGAACATTTTCCTTTCCAGATGCTTGTGCCGCAGTAACATTCTCTCGTATTTCAATATTTTTTTTCATAAACTGGTTAATGTTATTTCTGTGTTCCTGTCCAGTAACAGGTCTGTTGTTGTTTTGAATTTGTTGCAATTCATTCAATCTCTCACTGAAAATAATTTATTTTATATTTCTTGAATAAAAATACAACAAATTTTGAAGGACATGAAAAAAATAAATTTATTTACAGTACTGTATATATAGTCTTTAGCAATGAACATATTTTCTTTTTTAATCTGTCAAAGAAAATACTGCAGTTGATCTAGATCTATTTAGTGTGCAACTGTGCATCATGCACAGGTGAGTGATAACTTATATATAAATGCATGAAAAAAAAAGAGAAGAAAAACAACCCGAATAATTTGCTTTTTAGGCTTACTTGTAATTTATTAATTTGTATAAATTATATCAATTTACCTTCGGGTTCTCTCCAGCAATGCATCAAAAACAGCTTCCATCTTATTTTCAGTATTTGTCAAGCTACCTCGGGTGGCAAGCTCTGTATCAAGTCCTGTGACACTTTCACCACCCTCAGCCATTATTTCTTCTTATAAATGGGTGGCTATGACGAATTAAAGCAGCTTTATATACCCGGTTTATTTTTACCAATTACGTATCAATTATTATGGTTTGTTTGGCATGTTACTCATGCTTTTGTTCCCGTTTCAAATCTTCAGATTCATTTTCGCTTGTAAGCAAACCGGGTACTAGAATTCACAGAAATCTAATCTAACCTAAAAATAGCGATGACTTCCAGTTTACGTCAAATCAAGCTGCGCGCGCAGTTGAGCGCGAAATCTGATTTCGTATTGCAGACGGAAATTTGCAACATGGCATCAATAGATGGGTTATTTGAACAAATTATACATTATGAAAAAACTGCACAGGAACGCAAAAACTTTCTTCAGGAATGTATGTTCATGTTTATTATGCCCCCTTCAAAGAAGTGGGTTTAAAATCTATATTGCTTTGCATTTGTCTGTCGGTTGGTTGGTCCAGGGTCTTTCTATTTGAAAGACCCTGGCTTGGTCGGTCCGTCCGTTAACCTTTCAATCCGATCAATTTAACTAAAGAACGCAAAAACTTGGTATGAGGATTGTTCATGACCAGTAAATGACCCTTATTGATTTTGGGGTCAAAGGTAAAGGTCACAATGACCTTGTAGGTAAAAACGGTTTCTGATCAATAACTTGATAGCACATGGGATGTTGACCCTCAAACTTCGTAGCTGGATTGGTCTTGGCAAGTAGATGACCCCTATAGATTTGGGGGTCAAGGTCACATTGACCTTGTAGGTAAAAACAGTTTCTCATCAATAACTTGAAAACCCATGGGCTGTTGGCCTAAATCTTTGTAGACCTTTGTCTTGGTCTTAGCAAGTAGAATCTAGTTGACCCCGTTAGAATTTGAGGTCAAGGTCATATTGACCTTGTAGATAAAAACGGTTTCAGATCAATAACTTGACAACCCATGGGCTGTTGTCCCTCAAACTTCGTTGGTGGATTTACCCCAGATGGTACAGAATTATAGGGTTAAACAGTGATTTTTTTCCTCTATTTTACAACCGAATAAAGGCTGTTTCCCCTAGCCCAAAATAGGTATATATTCCCCTAAAAATGCTTATCATCCCCTAAAAATTCTTATATTTTCCCCTAAAATGCCCTGTGCACATTCGTCATGAGAGCAGCTTACTTATATCAGCTAGAAGACAGAAAGTTGGCCCTATAGATAACCTTTGCTTTGAACCATGCATGTTAGATTTAACTGAAATTGAAAACATCATAAAATGTGTGGGTAAATTTCATTCTCTGAGTTGTTGGAATTTTATTTTTCCCTTTTCTGATTTCAGAACTATATTTCCCCATTCAGAAAGCCACAGGTTGTTTTTAAAATTGGTAAAAAAAATCACTGGTTTATATCTTAACACAAGATTTGATCTTAGTCTAGAATCCAGCCTATGGAGACAGATCTAACATATTTTATAATATCAAGTCATTATTTTGTTTTCTTCCAGTGCGACAGGCAGTAATTTCTGCGCAGGAAAATAGAAGGCTATTAGAGACAAAATATGCAGAATTACAAAATAAATTAGCTCAAAAGGTAAAACTTTTTAACATTTTGTGTCTTTATTTGATCAATAGAGTGCTAGATCTACATTTTTAGAATATTTTTTTGTAGACTTTAAAAAGAACTTTATATGAAACTAATAATTACCTGTACTGTATACATGTATTCTAGATCTATTTAAAATAGAGATTCTTTAGGTTATACCATAACCTACAGATAAATAAGAACTCTTGAAACTAGAATATATCAGTGTTTAGTATTTACCTAATTAAATTTGCATATTTTTAGTTATAATATCTTATAAAATTCTATTACATAGAATTTTGGCTTTCATATTTTATTTGTTAACAATTATTGAATGTTTCCTAGTGTGTTCAAGCTGCGCTGTCAGGTCTACAGGTATGCATGCAGTGATTTTCCTACTTATATAAAAGACACCGAAAAAGGCCTCTTCCCAATTTAAATTTTCTTTAAAATCAACCAGCTTTTTTACTTTCCAAATCAGCAATTTTAGCGATAATTTTTCCCCAAAATCAAGAGGCTAAGGCCTCTTCCACAGGTCCAAGTGACCTTTGACCTCCCCCTCCAAAAAAATGGTTTGGCAGGTAGAACTCATTACAATGTGGCCAAATAGAAAGTTCCAATGTAAAAGAATGATTAGAATTGAAGTAAATTACCATAAATAATCAAAGGGCTGCAAGCTCTGTGGTATTTTCTGATCTTTGCAATCTAAATCGTACTGTATATCTGTATGTGTTTTCCTGTATAAGTTTATTTTTGGCGTCCGCGCCGAAGCGCGGCGCCTCTTATAGTATGAAATCAGATTTTGTGAAAGGGCGACAGCAACTTCTCGAGCCTTTTAGTCGGACATAATAAAAGCCGATCATTTCGATCAGTATGAGGGTGCTTGATTATTAATTAAAAATGAAATGTCGCGATATATACAATGAATAGCGAACTGGAGAATTTCGCAATGCAAACATTTTCAAATGAAATAACCTTTTCAGTCAATAAATCACGCTCTTTGGGGTATTTTTATTTATCATTTAGTAGTACACAGTGGGTTATTATGGTACATGTATCCGAAAGCTGAATAGAATGATGAGTTGATGACCTAAATATTCCGAAAATCTATTTATAGAGGGATGTACTCCTATTGGTAATTCCCGGTCTCTCCTGGTCTATTTTGACCAGGATTTACTAGTGACCGGCGAATAGTACCACACATTTATTGTCCGGTCTCTCCCGGTTTTGGAGTAGATGTTTGATATCGTTACAGAACAGAACAAATTTTTTACAGTCATATAAATTTTTTTTCAAAACAATAATTAATAAACACAGATCAACTCTCAAATTTATTGATTATTATTATACATAAACGTACAATTCGAAAAAAAAAACCCAAAACAACAATAGCATGTTTTATTTTATCTATATGAGATAAAAACAATAAATATGTACAATAATTGAGAAAAAAGGTACATTTTTATGGTATTAATATGACACTATCAACTTTGAAACATTTTATTTAATTTGTTATTTGTGTTTAGTAAAGATGCCGATAATTATTGTTAAAGTAACAAATTAGATTTTATGAATTATTCAATTGATTGATAATTTAAAATATGATAAAGAAAAATACAAATGTACATGTATATGGTTTAAGAATAAACAATATTATATATTGAAAGATTAACCATAATTTACTGACTTTTTAGCTCACCTGAGCATGCTCAGGGTGAGCTTTTAGGATCGATGATTGTCCGTCGTCCGTTGTCCGTTCACATTTAGTTGTTAACACTCTAGTGGTCGCATTTTGCCTCAATCATCATCATAAACTTGGTCAGGATGCTTATCTAGTTGATAGCTCGGAATGAGTTTGAACATGGGTCATCTCGGATGAAACTAGGTCACAAGAGCTAAAAAAATAGAAACCTTGTTAAACTCTAGAGGTCACATTTTTGCCTCAATCATCATCAAACTTGATCAGGATGTTTTGTCTAGGTGATAGCTCAGATTGAGTTTCGAACATGGGTCAATCTCGGATGAAAAAAAGTAGGTCACCCGGAGCTAAAATAGAAAAACCTTGTTAACACTCTAGCGGTCACATTTTTGCATCAATCATCATCAACTTGGTCAGGATGCTTTATCTAGTTTGATAGCTCGCATGAGTTCGAACATGGGTCATCTCGGATGAAAAAGTAGGTCACCAAGAGCTAAAAATAGAAAAACCTTGTTAACACTCTAGCGGTCACATTTTTGCATCAATCATCATCAAACTTGGTCAAGATGCTTGTCTAGGTGAGTAGCTCGGATGAGTTCGAACACGGGTCATCTCGGATGAAAAAGTAGGTCACCGGAGGCTAAAAATAGAAAAACCTTGTTAACCACTCTAGCGGTCACATTTTTGAATCAATCATCATCAAACTTGGTCAGGATGCTTATCTAGTTGATAGCTCAGATGAATTTGAACATGGGTCATCTCGAATGAAAAAGTAGGTCACCGGAGCTAAAAATAGAAAAACCTTGTTAACACTCTAGCGGTCACATTTTTGCATCAATCATCATCAAACTTGGTCAAGATGCTTGTCTAGGTGATAGCTCGGATGAGTTCGAACATGGGTCATCTCGGATGAAAAAGTAGGTCACCGGAGCTAAAAATAGAAAAACCTTGTTAACACTCTAGCGGTCACACTTTTGCATCAGTCATCATCAAAACTTGGTCAAGATGCTTGTCTAGGTGATAGCTCGGATGAGTTCGAACATAGGTCATCTCGGATGAAAAAGTAGGTCACCGGAGCTAAAAATAGAAAAACCATGTTAAAACTCTTGAGGTCACAACTTTTTGCCTCAATCATCATCAAACTTGATCAGGATGTTTGTCTAGGTGATAGCTCGGATGGTTTTGAACATGGGTCATCTCGGATGAAAAAAGTAGGTCACCGGAGCTAAAAATAGAAAAACCTTGTTAACACTCTAGCGGTCACATTTTTGCATCAATCATCATCAAACTTGATCAAGATGCTTGTCTAGGTGATAGCTCAGATGAGTTCGAACATGGGTCATCTCGGATGAAAAACTAGGTCACAGGAGCTAAAAAATAGAAAAACCTTGTTTAACACTCTAAGTGGTCACAATTTTGACTCAATTGTCATCAAACTTGTCAGGAAACTTGTCTAGGTCATTGCTGGGAAATAAATCGAACATGGGACATCTCGGATGAAAAACTAGGTCACAGGAGCTAAAAATAGAAAAATCTTGTTAACACTCTAGTGGCTACTGTTGTGATCCAAATATTCTGTAAATTGGTCTGAAAGTTTGTTTTGATGATTTCTAAATCAAGATCGAACATGGGTCATCTTGGATGAAAAACTAGGTCACACTGCCCAAATATGGAAAAACCTTGTTAACATTCTAGTGGTCACATTTTCGACTCAATTATCATCAAACTTGGTCAGGATGCTTGTCTAGGTAATTGCTTGGATGAGTTCGAAATCGCATGTGAAACTAGGTCACCAGAGCTAAAAATAGAAAAATCTTGTTAACACTCTAGTTGCTACTGTTTTGATCCAAGTATCCTGGAAATTGGTCTGAAAGTTTGTTTTGATGATTTCTAGGTCAAGTTTGAATATGTGTCACCTGGGTAAAAAACTAGGTCGCACTGCTCAAATATGGATAATCCTTGTTAACACTGTAGTGGTCACATTTTTGACTCACCTGTCATGAGATTTGGTCAGAATGCTTGTCTTGGTAATTGTTTGGATGAGTTTGATAAGTCAGGTGAGCGATCTAGGGCCATCATGGCCCTCTTGTTCCAGTTAAGTTTTTACTTATAATCGTCGGTCAGTATGACAATTGAATTCTTAAAATAGTAGTAAATGTAAAAACTCAGTATTAAAATAGCACATAAAACACAAAAAAGAAAAGAAAACAATATTCATAAAATCTGTATTTTTTATTAAAATAGATATTACAATTATTGTATTATAAACAATTATGCTCAACATGATCAACATGGTAATGTAACCAGTGTCATATTGTTAGTGTGAACAGATACCTTGCCACTGGCTCGGGTGGGGGCTGCGTTCGTTGAACGCCGCCTTTCCTTGATGATCTTTTTTATCATATTTTAGAGGGGGTCTTCGCTAATAGCGATAACATAATAAGGGACAATTACACAAGTGTGGTGTTGATCATGCATTACACATATGGATTATAAATGAATGTATACATGTATATCCGTTGCTATTAATAACCACGATCATAAAGAAATAACAAGTAATATTCTAATCTCTAGCATGCCAATCAAAGTTAATAATGAACAATGTCTTTCGTCCGTTCATTCTTAAGTGATATACAATTCTGGTAAAAACCAATTAACTATTGAAAAGTTTATAATCATATATCTGCTAGTTCATCTTCACCTGCTGCATTTCTTGCATGGACGCCCTTTGATGCTTTGCATCAATGCTTTTCTTGTTATGTACTATAATTCATCTTGCAGGGCACCAGAGTTTGATACATACAGAATTTTGCATAACTAGAGTTGCATCAAAAAATCATTTATGTTCATTTTTTATGATAGCCACACTTTATCCTTTCATATCGTGGCTATTTCCTTAACAAAGACACTAAAAATAGTTAGAATTAAAAAAAATGTTGACTCGACTGGGATTTGAACTCCAGACCTCTCACACACTAAACGAGCGCATTACCCCTGCACCACGAAGAAGTTATGAAACAAAGGCTGAATAAGATCAAGTCATTCTAAATTTAGAATTTCCATTGCATTTCGGGTTTTTAAAGCAGCACAGGCTGAATAAAGTCAAGTCATTCTAAATTTAGAATTTCCATTGCATTTCGGGTTAGGGTAATTTCAAGGTATTTTGTTCAGGGTAAACCTGTTGTTTAAAATTGAAGTAAATAATTTAGCAAAAATCTTCTCGCCCAAACAGTCCAACATGTAGAAAATCATTAATATCAAAATATCATTATGAAACTATATCATAAAGCAGTCAGATTTATTTGTGTAGTATTCGGTAATCGACATCGCTAAAAATAGCATTTTCATTGATTAAAATCATATTCATCCGCGTAATTTGTGAGTGTGCATTTATTGACAATTCTATAAGCCAACGCTACTTTTAAAGTTTTGAATGTGTAGTAATTTGTTGGACACTTGTATTAAACAAAAAATTGTTCTTTCTTTTAAATTGCTGGTTTTTTTAAGCAGTTTTTGAGTGAGAAACTACTTTGCGTTGTTAGGTCTGTTAGGAAATTTTGTGTTAGACTGTGGATGTTAGCTATGTATTTACTGATCTGTGATCAGAAAATACAAAAAATTAACCAAAAAGTTAAACAAATGCTGCCACCTAGTGTGCCTTGACAATAGCTCTGCTTTTCTTTTGAAAATTCGAAATGAAATTATTTTTGTCCTGATATTCAACCAAATATTGATCACTTAAAAAAGAAAATTAAAGCAAACATGTCAAGTTTAGGACAATTTACTTTAAATAAGTTTCAATTAAATAAAACAGGTTGGTGAGCTAAGTGACAAAGAGTTGATGTGTAAATGGTTGTCCTCCCAGGAAACAATATACCAACAACAGTTGTCTGACCTTGAGAAGCAACTACAAGGTCTTGAAGAGGAAAAGGTACAATTATAAATATTCTGAGCAATGTGTGTCAGTAACAAGATGCAAGACATATAACTGAAGCTCAAGACAACATAAGTTTTATGCCTGTGAAATAAATACATGTAATGTTATTGTCCAAAAGTGAAACAGAAAGAATAACCAGACACAAACTTTTAACCAATAACATATCTTATTCTTAAAATAAAGTACTAAATTGTTAAGCTTCATCTTCAATAAGGGTCATTTAACCAATTACTCGATATACACGTCTTTTAACGCCTTTTTCACCCCCACCCCCCGTTTATGTTGTCTCAAATGTTGAAAAAATACCTAAATTAGGCTCCAAACACTTGTTTTTGTTTGAGAAATGTTCTTTAAAAAATTGACCACTTTTTCAGAGCCACCCCCTATCCAAAAGATACATGGGGGGGGGGGTCCCAGAAGGTGGATGTGCCCCTTTCTGTTTGGGGGTTTGAAGAGGGCAGTAGCCCCCACATCGCCAAGAAAATTTTGGACTTTTGAGAGGCTAAAAATGACCCCAGGTGGATCATTAGGTAACGTGTAACCAATGCTGAAAAGCCTTTGATTCTAGATCAATCTATTGAGAAGTTGCAGCACTTTGAAATCTATTTTGATGGAAACAATCAATGCAAAATAGTGATTTTTGGCAATTTCGAGATGTCCCCTCGTTGCCATTGTAAGAGGAAATTTAAGACTGAGCCTGTTGTTACTAAGTAAATGGTCAAGTCAACATTTTTGCCAAGTTTCATAAGTATTGAAGCAGTTTTTATAGTTTTATAGCAATTTGAACTTTTTCAATGATTATGAACAGCCATTTTTCACAAAATGCTCATGCAGTGATGGGTTAAAGGTCAAGGACCAATGTTTAAGTTTGTGGACAGCAATGGGAACAACATCATGACTAGGGCTGGGGCGAGTATTCGAGTACTCAGATAATCACGAATCGCAATGAATAATCGAGTACAAATATTCATAAGTCCTGGGATGGTGAATCGCGATCTTATTTGTTTATATCCCTTTTCTGTTTCTCACACTCTAAAGTTCGGGGAAAAATACAATTTGAGTATGAATTATGCGATGTTTACCAAAATACCACCAGCAAAATTTACTTCCAATGTTTTGAAATACTTTTGTATAGGTTGCACAAATATACATTAAGATACTCATGCCAAGAATAAAAAACATTAACTTAGTTTATGTTTGCATTATTTTATATGTTTAATGTTAAGTAGTGTTTAAAGAAAAATAAACATTTTTTTAGAACTATTGTTCATGTTTTTAAAGGGTTTCTTTTTAACAAAAGGTTTGTGGTTCGATTTGTGAATCGTAAGTGCTGAATCTTGGTTCGGATTGGATCGTCACTTATCCGACGATCCACACCCCTAATCATGACTGTAACAATAGCTCGATTTTTTTTTCATTAAAAAATCGAGCAATGCTAAAGTTTATATAATCATTTATGTAACCAATAAAGATTTTTTAATTTTTTTTTCACATAGAAATCTGTTAAAAAGAACTTGCAGGATGAAAAGGAGAAATTCTGTGCCAATATTTCCCAATTCTATATCAATTTTGGTCCCAGAAGTTCTTGCAGCACAGAGAGAGAAGGAAAATTTAATTCCATGTTTCAAGATTTGCTGATGGAAAGAGAAAAATATCAATCAAGTAAGTTCAAAAATTAATACTCTTGTAGATTTCATATCAGATAAACTTTTCTGCCTTTAACCCTTTTCCTGCTGGTGTCAACTGTTTCTACCCAAATGGCCAGATTAAGGGTTTAAAAAGTAGAAATATGGTGATCAGAATAGAAAGTTCCGTCATAGTTCGCATAAATCATGCAGATTAATTATATCAATTTGATTTCCCGAACAAGCTTCATTATTTCATAATATCGCATTGTATTTGAATATTTGTTAAAGTAATTTAACAAAAGACAAAGAGTTACTAAACTGTGTTTAAAATACAACACTCTCGTAAATATGATAACATGTATAATTTATATGAGAATATAAATGCCATGCATTGTTTGTATGAATATTTTGTTTGTATATGTCTATATGCTGTGCCATGCATACAACTAAATAAACCTTCTTTTCTGTTCTGTTCATAATATTACACCTTGCACCATTAGTAAAATAACAAATCTTTGTTTAATTCTCATACACATGCACAGAAGAGAAATCTTTGAAAAAATCTGAACACTGATCATAATCTAGCCTGGGTTCCAGTTTGTCTAATTTTTTATTTGTGTCTGTTCTCCAAATCGATACTATCAAACACGAATGAATACGAAATAGCATGTATGTTCTGAATAAGCAAAAAGTATGTTATAAGTAAGCAAAACTAGTATGTTATAAATACATGTAAGCAAAAACAACACTTGAATCCCAGGCTAACCATAATCATTCAATTTCAGATCAAGAGAAATATAGTGTTAGAGAGGAATCTGTTAAAAAACTTTGTACAGAAAAAGAAAACTTGAAGACACAGCTTGAGAAAATCTTCTTAGAAAATAACAGTACAGTATTCTAGCTCTTGTTGCATCACCTTTTAAATAATAATACTATTTTTATATACAGTATATAAATAAGTCTTCTTCCTGTTATCTCAAGAATGGTTCAACTGTACAGTGGACAGATGCTTGGGGTCAGATCCTGACCCCCCCCCCCCAAAACGTGATACGCCCCTGTAAACACTCTTTCAAAAATATTTTAATATTTGAACACGAATTGGACATCTGTTGCAATGATAAAACTGGGTTTCAAACAATTTTAACATGTATGAAAAAATACCCTATACCCGTATGCTAGTAATCGCGAGACAGGGTACACATTCAATTGTATTGGGTACAGTGATTTTTTTCTATACATGTGTACTGTGTTTTTTTGGAATTAATCTAGATTTCTTGAAGATAGATTAAGATTTTATTGAACTACAGTCTAACCCCGGTTATTCGACAACCCTTTATTCGAATACCCGGCATTAGCCTAAGTAGATTGGCAGTCCAATTTTTATCTCTATATAAAACAATATAAATACGAGCGTATTATTCGAAATGCATTATCCGAATACCTCCTATTTTTCGAAGTAAAATTTCGGTCCCGATTATACAATTATGAAAGAATTTCATACCTATTATTCGAAGCCAGACTAATTGGCGCAGATCCACTTGCTGACCAGTAGACTTGTGAAAAATATCCACAGTCATGCGTGTAACTAGACAATCATGATAATAACTCTTTGTGTGTTCTTAAATCAACTTTAATTAGCTGTAAATACCGTAGTGACGACACGGCCATTATCAAGGCTTTGCGCGAACTGAAACAATACATAATGTAGAATAAAATGCAAGTATTTATGTCTTCAATGTCAATACAATAATTTTTACGCATCTTTTCTTTAATATTTATTTTTTCTCAATTGAATACAGGAAGCAAGTGTGTTGTAAACAGTAGTTTTGCAAAGTGGAGTAGTTTTCGTCTATCACTATATGCCGATTTCGATTATTCGAACCCATCGATTATTCGAAGTAAATATTCAGTCCCTGAGGAACTTTGAATAAACGGGGTTGGACTGTACCAGTGACTTAGATTTTACATGAGAGAACGGAAAGTGTAGGTCAAGGTCATTCTTCAGAGTTACTGTATAAATGTTAAACTAAATTGCTTTGGGTTGGGCAGCCAAGAATTTCTATTTCATATATATTGATGGGTGGGCATGTAAAATCTAAGTCACTGGTAGTTCGGTAAAGTCTTTATCAATCTTCAACAAGTCCCCATTAATTTACTTATTGAACTACCACATGACCAGATTTTCCATGTCTTAGATTTCTATTCAGAGCTAAGCAATAAAAGTTTATCATCTATCAATAGAAAGAACAGTAAATATATAATATAACATTTGTATTCAAACTTCTTCTTCTTCCAATACTGTACATAACCCACTCTGGGGCATTGACTTACAATTGTGATTGAATAAAAACTTTTCATAATAGTTTTCTCACAAAAAGAAGGGAGACAAATGCTAAACATAAATCTAATTTATAACATGTTGATTAACTCCCTTGAATGGGTTAACGATTTTATTGTAAAAATTACCCAGGTCATGATTTAACCACCATCATTTTAAATGTTTGTGCCATTTAAAATCATATTTGACAAAAGATTGTTCAACAGTTTTATTATAATACAAATGCTGAACTCCAGCCAGCTGCTTTCATTATAGAATCTTTTTGAACACCTTTATTTGCAGCAGCAGATGTTGATGCTGCACGACAACTATGCACACCAGATTTGTTCATATCAGTACCAGACTGTTGCAATAGTTACTTTATCCGTCTAGCAACTATAGTTTTAGTCCCCGCTTTGAAGAGTTTTACAGTTGAAATGAACAGTTTGGGTTCAGTCCCTCTACATGTAGATGTAATAATGATGAAAGTTTCCAATAATATATTTACTAAACATAATAGCGGATCATTTAAATATCTACAAATTAGCTTTGGTTTCACATGTAACCCAGGTTTAGACTGTTTCATTAATTCTGATACGTGACAAACAACTTCATTACAAATCTGTAAACCAGACAATTTTAATAAATGAATTGTTTGACATCTTTGTCCGGTTAACAACATTAACAAAGTTGACAATTTTTGAAATAATTGTAATAAATGTAGTTCATTATAGCCAGGAAGACTAGAAATATATAGTAATACTTTATTTACATCTCAAATATTGTTATATTTAGGCAAAGTTGGTTTGATTTCTGACTGATAATAACCTTCCCTTAACCATTTTAATCAAAATGTCGTTACCAATATCCCTATTATTTATCAATTTGCATACATGTATATGAAATAGCTGATTTGATATCTGTATTGATAGCACTATAACCTAGTCCTAACTATCATATAATTCAGTTAAAAATTCTAACACTGTCACATTAGATGGGTTAAATGAATCAATCCGTTTTGAACTTGAAAAAAGCAACCATTTTCTAATATAAGACCCATACTGCTTTGTTGTTGATGTTTTCCATGATTGTAAAATGATTTTAGTTTTTTTCTGACAGGCCTCTGTTTTTGAGCTGTTTCCTGATAAGGTCACATCTTCTGAACAGGATGATGCTTGTGTGAATTTTTTGGCAGAATTAGGCCATCCTTAAAAAAATGTTTGTTTGCAGTAACGCGACCGACTCACAAAATTTGCCCCTACTCAAAAGTTTTTTTCATGGTCTGGATAAAAAATAATTTTTTTTTTTGAATCAGAAAATTATGCCTTGTGCTTTCTTTTTGTTCTTTTAAAGGTTAATAGGAGAAATAAAATGTAGGTATTATTTAATTAGAATTCATTTATCAATTTATTAATTATTACCAGATTATCAAAGCATATCTTGTCCAGCATTTTGAAATTCCATGTTTATTTGGGAGTACAGTTCAAAAAAAAAAAAAAAAAAAAAAAAAATCGACCTACCTACCCACCTTGAAAATTCTGGGTCGGGTTACTGCAAACAAACATTTTTTTAAGGATGGCCTTAGTGTTTGCTGTTTTGGTAGAATGTACCAGGATTGATAAAAAAAGTTCTGTCCCGATGTACTCCTGGTAACCCAACTAATGGTCTTACTTTTCAATATAATCGCCCTTTATATCAATTATCTTTGCCCACTTGTGCTCCAACTTGTTTAACCCTTCAAAATAGAACTCAGCTTGGGCAGTTTTATCGTTGGTGGCCTCTTTTAGCCGCCCAGGCCGCTCATCATCTCCAATAGTCTCCCTCTCATGGATTTCCTTGGGGACATCCCTTTCTTACAGAGGTACTTAATGACGGCTCTGATTTCATCTTTCTCCATTTGATCTAAATGACACATTCCTCTACTGATCAAAGTGTGTTTTATGTTACTTAATCTGTGTAAAACCGCATGCAACTCGGTCAGTTATCTTCAATAATCAATGTATCGTTTGTAAATGTCAGTGTAGTGGCCAGAAGTATAACAGGCCAGAGAACTTTTTGGTCATACCTCGTAAGACTGAGCATATATCTGTTGTAATAATTGACTGAACCACACCTGTATTGGCCATAGTGGAGCAATCAATACCGCTGAATTCACTCTGTCGAGGATTATTTTCTGAAGACAGTGGCTGATCAAACTAAAAGGAGGAAAAAAATACATTAATTCATTCCATTACAATGTAAATGCATCAACAGCAAATGCTTTAGCATCAGGTTGATAAGGTACTTTTTTTGATTTTGGTGATTCAGACGCGATGCAAATAATTTCGGCCATGTAACAACATTTTGTGGAATTTATTAGTAACAAAATCTAACCGAATCCGTTATTATGATAGATCTACCAGTGTCTTTTTACAACCAAACGTGTCATAAAAAAATTTTCTCTTGTGGTTTATTTTTTTAAAATTAATATCTTCCGCATTTATTTATTGATTTTTACTAAAGAACGACCCTTTCCTAGCAATTTTTCCGTAATAATGACCTTGACCTTCACTTTCCATTCTCTCGGAAAATCTGGTCATGTGGTAGTTCAAAATAAAAAGGCATGATATGCTTTTAAATTAAGTGGGGATGGAAATCCCCAGATGTCCCTTGGTGCAGTATTTCTGACAAACGCATGTAATGGGGTATATCAACCAACCTGCCTACTCATAAAAGTCTGGTGGAGAAGAGGATAGCTTCCTAAAATAAAAATTGCCATCCTCGGTGGAATTCAAACCCAAAGCAAAGAGGACAAGTGGACTTAAGTCAGCAACTATAACCAATTGACAACTGAGGTCTCAAAAAAGTACCAGCTGCCTCATGCAGTGGTGATTACAACTTTTATTTGGTTGCCTGAATACATTTTATTGTAAGTCATGCAAAGCCTAATGGGATAATGTATCTAAATGTTATAGTGATAATAATTCTATACTGTAATTGCTCAAGTTTATTGTTCTGATACTGAAATTCCATTAAACAGATAATAAACAATGTTAAAAATGTTTTATGATCTGAGTTTTAGATAAATAAAAAAATGTTTGACTTGATATATGTTTTGGTACATATTCTAGAGTTGACATCAAGCCTGTGTGAGGAGCTCCAGAAATCAACAGATTTGGAAGAGGAAAAACTAACAGTTACCAAGATTCCAACCACAGATCCTGAGTTTATACGGTAATTTGTTATATTATTAGGTAGAAAAATTTTGGGTAGGCTATATGGCCCTATACAAAAGGCTATTTGTGAATATAATGCAAACAACGATTATATGCAGCCATTTATTAAATACTTATAAATGAAATATTGAAAAATATTGATGAAATAAAATGCGCATTTTCACTGTATAAGTTTATTTTTCACTGTGCAGAAAGACAAATTTTCCGTATTTTCATTGATGTCTAGCCATACTTCAGTCAATTCACGAAGTTTAAGTGGAAGTTTGTCAAAAATGAGAATAATGTATATAATATAACATAATTTTTTTTTCTATAAATACAGGATTAATTTCATCTTGCTTTATGAATATTATCATATTTCACACTTGTGGCTACTGCCACTCATGAAATATCTATTTTCATACCACTGGAGGACAATAAATACTGTATTTATAAAAAAAAAAACTTGAATATCCTGTACATATTAGCTGTCAAGAATTTTATAAAAAAAAAATTATAATACAATGTACAGCAAACTTCCCTTATTTGAGGAAAACAAAATTACTTCATACTTTCACAGCAGGCATTTATATAGTTGATAGAAACAACATGGACTATGTTACGAACATGCAATATTGTAATATAATATATACCAGTCATCGAATTTAGCACTGGCCTGGTGGGGCATTGCCAGTGTAAAGTAGTTCGGGCCAGTGTAAATTTTAAGAAAATTTGTTTAAATATATACTCTGTAGATGAAATTCAAAACTGGAATTCGGGCCAGTAAATTCAAAATCGTAAATTCATTGACTGATTTACTAGTATATGTATATGTTCATACATATTACAGTATTCTTTTTTTTTTTACTTACAATATCTAGATTAATAAATAAATTAAAACATTACACCATGAATTCATATAACAATTGATTATAATTCATTTCACTATACAAGTTGAGAATCCTACTTTTTACAACTATTTTGTTGGCTCCAGTCATACTTCTCCTTGCTTTTTTAAAAGATCTTCTAGACGTTAAAAAATTGATTGTAAAAATGTAAATATTAAATTAATTATAACATGTACCGGGTAGTTTCCTTATAGCAATAAATGAATATTTCCCAGTGAATTGCATAGTTGTTTCCCTTGCATTATTTGAAAATTAATAGGTATATAAAACTTAGTATGTTGGAAAAGCATATTTAGGTCTACAGATCAACTGCGAGTTCACACATCAGGACAAGGAGGCCCATATTTTTTTCATGGCAATTTGCTCAATGTCAATGTGTCTCTTGTTATTTAACACTGTTTCAAATTATCTTTTGTGAGGAATTTGCAAACTTAAATTAGTGTTGGTACAGTATCCAGAAACACTTATTATAAACTGCATGGAAGTACTTAAACCTAACACAATGAATTAAAGTAGCACGCCTCCAGATACCTAATTTTCATGAAAATTTTGGACATGAATTAAAAAAGTAAAATAATCTGGAAAGAACAAAGAAAATAATTTACACATTGTAAACAGCACTTGCAACCTATGTAAATCACCATAAAGAAGTTAAAATATGCAAAAATAGCCATTGCTGCATTAGTAACACAGTAAATGCATGTTTATGGTGAAAAATACTGCAAAATCATCATTAATCACACATAATAAACATCAAAATTATTTATTTTATGTTGAATCTTTATAATTTTCTTAAAATCTCAGTGCAATTTTCGCAAGTTTGATTGTCTTGAAATATTTGGCTCATTTTGAGGAATTGCACCTTAAACCCAGTAAAATGAATTACATTCAACAAAGTGTATTTAAACATTACAGCATACAAGAGGAACTAGAGTCAGAGAGACAAGTGAGTTCTGACCTTGAACAGCAGTATAGCCATGTACAATCTCAACTACACCAACTTCATCAGAAACTATGGCAACAGCAACTTAGACAACAACAACAGGCAAAACAGACATACACACAAACAGTTAATTCTCACCTTGTACAAGACCGTAATAAAACTCAATCAGGACAGCCTATCGCTTGGCAACAAAGAAGAAACATGGAGAATGATGGACAAACAAGGCAACAGAAAAGTGATCCTGTAAAAAAGACAATGAAAGTCTTGGCTCAGAACTTGGGTAGCACTGCAGGCGGCCAGATCGAGAAAACAGGACTTGCTGTATCCAGTTATAATGACAAAAACAGTCAACAAAATTCAGATGTAAGTACATTAACCAAAGGATTTCTTTTTATTTTAATAAGAAAAACAAAACAAAATTATAAAACTTTTATAACTCCACAAATAGAAATAATGAACCTTGATACAAAAGAAAGTACAGTTTCTCAATTTTACACATAATAAAAAAACCCTAAAAAATTAACATGGTTCTTAGTTATATATATAAACTACAAACATATTTGAGCAAAAATTGAGCATCCTTCCCTTGCCTGTCCATCAGTAAAGCTTGAAATTTGCAATTTTATACATAAAATGTACAGCTGAAGAAGATTTAAGAGCTCATAATTTTAACAGTAATATGTTGTATTTACTTAGACTGGCAGTGGTTTAGAGGATCATAGTGATGTACTGTTTAGTGGTGATGAAAACCTCAGTGATGACATGCAGCTTTCTCAAGATGATACCATGTAAATCATTGGTAAAGCATTGATATGATGAAAATAATTTGTAAAACATTGATACCTTGTAAATCTTTGGTAATAACATTGATACCATGTTATTAATTGGTAAAACATTGATACCATATTAATCATTGGTAAAACATTGATACCATGTTATTAACTGGTAAAACATTGATATCATGTTAATCGTTGGTAAAATATTGATACCATGTAAATCATTGGTAATAACATTGATACCATGTTAATCATTGGTAATAACATTGATACCATGTAAATCATTGGTAAAATATTGATACCATGTAAATCATTGGTAATAACATTGATACCATGTAAATTATTGGTAAAACATTGATACCTTGTTTATCATTGGCAATAACATTGATACTGTGTAATTCATTGGTTAAACATTGATACCTTGTAAATCATTGGCAATAACATTGATACCATGTAATTCATTGGATAAACATTGATGCCTTGTTAATAATTGGCAATAACATTCATACTGTGTAAATCTTTGGTAAAACATTGATATCATGTAAATTTAAGAAATGATATCAGTCTAAGGGGTGTTTATCCGCTATTTAACACCGGTTTAGAGTTTTGATGCATACGAATTGAATTGACCAAGAAGGTTGTAGGCCTGAGTGGTTAAATTTTAGTTTTTTACACATCAAAACAACAAAACTGGTGTTAAATAGCCGATAAACACCGCTCAGACCGATATTATTTTGATTCTAACAAGATAAAATAAGGAAGATCACTAATGTTAGTTTTTCAAGCGGAAAAAACTTCCGTTTCCGATTTTCTTATAACACTGTTCGATTTCATACCCTACTGTTGCTATTATAGAAATTATTAAACAAAAGAAATAATGAGAAAAAAGTTATTTTATCAAGTTTTCATTGGTAAAAACATTGATACAATGTAAATTATTGGTAAAACATCAATACCATGTAAATCATTGGTAAAACATTGATACCATGTTAATTATTGGTTATAACATTGATACAATGTAAAACAATATAACATTAAAAAGGCATTAAAGAAACTGACCAAAAAAAAAGAAGAACTTTATGCAACTTGTTAACATGGCATAACTGCATCATGTAATGATATCTTAAATATGTTAAAATTACTACTGACTATGTACCATGTGATATGAAGATGTAACCTTGTTTATTTATCATTTTTATGTTACCATGACAACAACACAAACTAATTAAGTGGTATGAATAAATGTATCTAGTGAAGATGTGATATACAATGAAAACCAGTGATATTATACAAATATGTAATTATGATGAACAGATGAAACCATGACTGAACACCGTTATATGTTATATGTAACAATATCCAGTCATATATACCAGTAACATGTCGTCAAAACAATATTAACACTGATATATGTAACAATAACAAGTCACAATATACCAGTAACATGCCATCACAACAACATCACCACTGATATATATACATGAATAACAATAATCAGTTATACATGAATATTTTATATGTTAAACAATAACCAGTTAAGTTATTAGTTATAAAGATTCTTGACAGATTATATGACCCTATACAAATGGTTGTTTGCATATATAACCCAGTAGGCCAGTTTAAAGAAACTACAGGCAGCAAATATTATAGCTTTAAACACTTTTAACAATGAAATGTATGTCTGATTATATAAATGCATATAACTTGAGATTAGATCTTTTTCACAGGATAAACATAAAGGTTACGGGAAGAACAAGTACAAAGTACTTCTAAATTGAAACTTAGACTTTCTGAACCTTTATAGTAACTGTACTTTTCTTTAACTAATTGTCCTTGACCATGAAACTTTTATATAAAGTTATCATTTTTTTCAAGGACCATCAATTTAATTAGATTGTAATATTTGTTTGTGTAAACAGTTAATTTTAAGTGCATTTTCTAAAGCAGTTTATTATAATATTGTGTAGCTTTTTTGTATAATGTTTTAAGTGTTTTGTTTCTCCATTGTCACTATTGTAAGTATAATAATGTGCTTTAGGAAGTAAAACTCATTTGTTACAGTGCTAGTATAGATTCCATGAAAATTTGTTAGGTTACTATTACAAAATAAAAATTACTTCGTATTAGGAGCAGTAGTCCAGTGGTAGGACGCGCGCTTAGGGATCGAGAGGTCCCGGGTTCGAACCCCACCAGAGGCACTGCTAATTTCCTTGAGCAAGAAATTTACCTGCGATTGCTTCACTTCACCCAGGTGTAAATGGGTACCTGTGAGGGTGGTATAATTCCGTTGCGCCAAAGTGTCGGCTGCACTAAGCGGAGTTAAAAGACTCCCCAGGGAGATTGATAGATAGATACCAGTAGCCCGATGACCAGGGGTAATAGCTGTGAAGTCGGTGAACGTGCGTAAGCATGAAACTTAGACTATAAAATGCAATTACTTACTAACGAACTTACATCCGTATTCACATTGGCTTCCTCAATACATGTATGTATTAAATACATTTCTTATAACTTATAAATATTCCTTGAAATAGTTTGATTTCTTATAACTTAACAATTTTTTGAAACAAGTTTCATTCAATGTATATCAATTTAGAGGGTAAGGCATTGTTATATTTGCAGAAGTAAAATCACTTGTATTTCAGCTATCCCATCCCTTTTTACTCAAATGTTTTTATATAAATTGTGAATTTAAATGAAAAGAAGATACAATCAAATACTTCTCAAGGAAGTATATCTCATCCTCATGCTGTAATTTGATGAATTATGAAAAACTGATGTAAATTTAAGCTAATTGGAAAAATACACAAATACATTTTTACATGGTCAAAAAGATCTTGTTTTGCTTCAATATTAAAACAGTTCTTTTCACTGTTACACAAAAGATTCTGCTATGAAATATGATAAATTATGTGAAAGTGTTTTATTTTTAAGTAAGCAAAGAAGAACATTTAAATTAAAACTCTTTCGTACAACTAACATTATTTTGTTTATTTAGACCACCATAATGTTATTTCTCCATTAGTTTTCTCATATGGTGCATTTAGTAAGAAAGACAATTTTACAATCAGTTAAGTTCTTATCCTTTAAGACTGAAGTAACCTACTTTTTTATGTCTACCCTTTTGGGTTGTGGGGGAAATACCGGACATAAGACATTATAGACCAGTTAATGTCATGCGTGACTCCATAGGATAAATGCTAGAGCCATATAACTTTTTAATAAGTTTTTAAAACAACTAGCTGTATGCATTATACTGAAGATTGGCAGAGTTATGCTCCCTGATTTAGCAAAAAGTGGCATTTTTAAGACTTGTTTTTCTTTTATATCTCAAAAGTATAACTGCTAAAGGCATGAAACTTTCCAAGAATAGTTTACACATAGAGGCTATTTGTTTGTTTTGCATGTAAGATTGAAATATAATTTCACTGAGTGAACATCAGATGCAATATTTTCACGAGTGGCGTAGCCACGAGTGAAAATATAATAGCTGGTGTTCACGAATGAAATATATTTCAATCTTATATGTAAAACAAATAAATTTTCTTTTCATTTCATGCTTTTTAAGTGATTTTAAGTATTGTTTACTGATTTTGCCGCGTATCGTCGCGCATTCTCCTTTGTGACGTCATCACATCATGACGTCACATCATCAATTTTGAAATATAGTTCTGTTAAATTTCTCTAATTTTGTTACATTTTTAACATGATGTATGGTGACATCGTCTTTCTTTTCCTAAAGAAGCAAAATTTACGTATGATGGCATTTATTTCTGCCTGTTATTCCATTTAGTTATGATTTTCTTTTCATCCGCATTCAGATATAGTCCGGCTACAGTGAAAATTATATTTTATAAATTTCACTAGTGGTTTATCAGAATATAATCATCTGATATATTACAATAAAACACTGGAAAGCATGAAATAAATTTTGTTATTTTAAGGCAAATTTATTCAAGTTCTGCAAGGTAATGCCCCTTGATTAAGGGAAAAAAATAGTATTTTTATACTTGTGTCACACTTAAAGTATAACTGCTTAAGACAAGAAACTTAATAAGAATCTTTGTTATCATGTGAGTTTAAGCACCTGTGAAATATGTCGCTAATTTATTTGAGATTAGAAGAGTTATGGCCCCTTGTTACCAAAAGTTAATATATTTGAGCTTAAATTACATATAACTGCCATTTTTATTTGCACCAGAAATTGTATGATACAGGGTTTTTGTGATTATACAGGGAATGTGAAAGAATCCTTTTCCTTGGTTATCTTTTAAAATAACTTGAGTCAGTATGTAGTGAGATAAATGGTATTACTTAAATTATCACTTGAATTTTCATGGTGTAAGGCTTCATGTGTATTTATTATTATTTATATTGTTGTAAACAGTTAGATATGTTAGTTTGCCTACATGTTCATATTGCACTTTTTCTATGTTGTTGTATAATCATATCACCATGACCACTTTAGTTCTTGCTTGATTACTCATTATTTCAATTTAACTTATTTATTTTAATATGATGTTTGTGTATATATGTTGTCAACTTGTGTATATAAACTGTTTATATATTGAAATTTTGTTGTCTATACATTAGCTGAGGCCCACATGGAAGATCCGGAAACCAATTAACCCTTTACTTCATATGTGCCCCCTCCTGTTTGGCAATTAACCCTTTACTTCATATGTGCCCCCTCCTGTTTGGCAATTAACCCTTTACTTCATATGTGCCCCCTCCTGTTTGGGTTTTCGCCAAGAAAATTTTTAGACTTGTGAGAGGCTAAAAATGACCCCAGGTCGATCATAAGGTAATGTGTAACCAACGCTGAAAAGCCTTTGACTCTGGATTTCAATCCATTGAGAAGTTGCGGCACTTTGAAATCAATTTTGATGGAAAAAATCAACGCAAAATAGTGATTTTTGGCAATTTTGAGTTGTCCACTCGTTGCCATGGTAACAGGAAATTTATGACTGAGCATGTTGTTACAAAGGCAATTGTCCAGTCAACATTTGTGCCAAGTTTGATTAGTATTGACGCATTTTTCATAGTTCCATAGCAGTTTGAACTTGTAACAGGTCAGGCTTTTCAATGAAAATGGCCGTTTTTCAAAAAATGCTCAAAGGGAAAGGGTTAAATAAAGGCATTACCTACTTCTCCTATAGTCTATGGACACTTTTCTAGTTTCATATTCTTTTGATGGTTTACTTTTTAAACATTAATGTTTATTTTCAAAACATATCCTACCTTAAATACAATGAGTAAAAGGCTTTCAAGGAAGCAGCCTGATGTGGCAGAGTTCTTATAAATGTTGATCTTCTAGCAATTTCTCTTACCTTATGTTTGAATCCTGCCAGGCTGTCCAGCTGAAAGCAAGTAAGTAAGTAAGTAAAGTCTTTATTTACTGAGGCTACACATTTGGTTTCCCAATCTTCCATGTGGGCCTCAAAAACATAAATATACATAAAATATACATAATTTACATCATGGTTCAAAATACATATACATGAAAACACAAAATATAATAATATATTACTTTATAAAAACAATGCATAAATAATTAAAAACATAATAAAAGCTGGTAATTATGTAAATGCATCTTCTTCCTGTGCTTGAATGATATGATTTAAGTCTCGACTTTATCTTCTCTTGTTAGGTAAAAAGACCATGTTTTGTATACCTCATTCAGGACAGTTTCCATTTTTGTAGTGTAATGTAAAGTCTTTTGCCCCCCCCCCCCCCCCCCCCGTGAGGGCCAATTTTAACCCGGGGCTTTTTATTTGAACAAACTTGGTAGACACCCACAAGAAGATGTTTCATGCTAAACATCTAACCTCTAACTCATTGGGTTTTTTAAAAGAAGATTTTTCAAGTTTTTACTATACACATATAGTTAAAAACAATGACACCTCTGGGGCGGGGCCAGTTTTGACCCTAGGGCTTTTATTTGAACAAACTTTGTAGACACTTACTAGAAGATGTTTCATGCTTAATATCTAAACTCTAGCTATTTGGGTTTTTTCAAGTTTTTGCCATACACATATAAGGAAAATCAATGACCCCTGGGGCGGGGCCAATTTTGACCCAATGGCTTTTATTTGAACAAACTTTGTAGACACTCACTAGAAAATGTTTCATGCTTAATATCTAAACTCTAGCTATTTGGGTTTTTTCAAAGAAGATTTTTTAAGTTTTTCCTATACACACATAAGGAAAATCAATGACCCCCGGGGCGGGGCCAATTTTGACCCCAGGGCTTTTATTTGAACAAACTTTGTAGACACCCATTAGAACATGATTCATGCTAAATATCTTAGCTCTAGCTCTTTGGGTTCTTTAAAAGAAGATTTTTTAAGTTTTTACTATATGCATATAGGGAAAATCAATGACCCCCTGGGGCAGGGCCAATTTTGACCCCAGGGCTTTTATTTGAACAAACTTGGTAGACACTCATTAGAAGATGTTTCATGCTAAATATCTTAGCTCTAGCTCTTTGGGTTTTTTAAAAGAAGATATTTAAAGTTTTTTCTTTCGGTTGCCATGGCAACCAGAGTTCTGCATGGAATTAAATTCTTTGAACAATTTTTAAAGGTGACCACCAAAGGAACATTCCTGTAAAGTTTGGATGAAATTGGCTTAGTGGTTTATGAGGAGATGTCATTTAAAGTAAAAGTTTAAGGACGGCCGGACGCCGGACGAAAAGCGATCACAAAAGCTCACCCTGTCACTTTGTGACAGGTGAGCTAAAAATATGTGATTAAGTGTGGAAGTTATCTCTCCAACCAGTACACATTGAATTATATAGACTGCAATAAATGATACAGTGGTTCAATTTACCCACTGTGAATAATTTGTATCTGAATTAACTTTTAAGGTGTGCCTTAACCCAGAAGCAAAGTTGGTCTTCATTTGTGTTTTTATTCACAGTTGTTTTCAACTTTTTGCTAAATAACAATATTATTGTGTAAAGAGGTTAGGTGTGACTGTCCATATTATACTGTATTTATACATTCAGTTGGCAAGTTTAAAACATTTTACAGCATCATATTTCAGGAAAATAATTAATATCAAACCTGATATACAAAAAAGCATTTTTATTTGTATGAAATATAATACATGTATAAACTTACCTCAAATATTGCTACAAACAAGTGGGCCATCATGGTATTTATATCACTCACCTGATCAAGGCTTTTAATGGTACAATTGACATTGTAAGCTATGAATGAAAAGCAGATAATATTATAATGTCTTAATATTAAATTAGTATCATAATGTTATTATCAGCATCTGAAATAGAGAAAATGTAAAACTTTTTCCAAGTTTGGGCTGTGTGACCCAGTTTTTGACCCCAGGTGACCCATATTCGATCTTGACCTAGAAATCATCTAGATCTTTCTGACAAATTTTCAGGATATTTGAGCTTGAAGTGTTGACTAGGTTTTTCCACGTTTGGGCTGTGTGACCTAGTTTTTGAGCCTCTAGAGTGTTAAAAGATTCTTCTATTTTGGGCTCCTGTTTTTCATCTGAGATGACACATACTAAAACTCACCTGAGCAATTACTGGGACAAACATCCTGACCAATTTTGGTTACAATTGAGGCAAAACGGTGACCACTAGAGACTTAAGGAACTAAATGTTGACTGATGACAGACATTCAACAATCCTAAATGCTCATCCTGAGCCAGCTCAGGTGAGCAAAAAAGTGGTCCTGGTTCAAGGAGCCAGGGATCTGCATGATTTTCTTCATTTATGTTTTCTGAAATGCATTTTCATGTCTATTTAAGGGCACAAAATAAGAAAGAAAAGAACTTTTCAAACTTGAATAATTGAATGATATTTCATGGTTGCATACTTTTCTCTGGCCTGCAGCCCCTATTGTACTCATTACAGTACTAATAATGTCTACCAATTCAATTCTTACAATATCAATTAGGGCTTGCTCTTTCTTCAATTTGTTTCAATTATGGATAATTTTTTACATGATTTCAGCATAAAAAAGATTTTAGATTTAGTACAGAGTTTGATAAGACTGCAGACGTGCATTGCATGCATGCTAGGCTTTATACACTTAACAAATCTTATAAGTGTGCATGTATAAATGGTTTCATATTTGCCCGATCATGCTGAAATTTTCAACAAATACAGAAAAGAGAGATGTTGTCATTTTTATTAAGTATTTTCATTCAAGATACAAATTTAAGATTTAATTTCTAAACTAGAACTCCGCAAGTCGGATGTGTCGCCTTATGAACAATGTAGTTTAGGGGAAATGGCCAGGACAAGTATGAAAATTAACAAAGGGCAATAACTCAAAAATTAAGAAGTGCAGAGTACTGGTTCTTGTGCACTGCACTTCTTAATAATGAGATCTATCATCCTATGAAGTTTCAAGTCCATAGCTTTTTTAGTTGAAGAGAAATGGCCCGGACAAAATTAAAGTATGAAAATTAACAAAGGGCAATAACTCAAAAAATAAGAACTGCAGAGTACCGGTCCTTGTGCACTGCACTTCGGGTTATTGAAAGAAGCATGCATACCAAGTTTGAAGTCAATCAGACTTATAGTGACTGAGTTATGCTCCGGACAAGCTTTAGGGGACGCCGACAACGACGCCGACACAGACGCCGCCGCCGACACCGCCGACAAAAGTAACCCCTATATGTCACCTTTTCAAGGCGACACAAAAATGTGAATGCGTGTCGAAAGTTGATGCCGCAAAATGATGTCCTTATACTGTGTGTGCCCACCCTGACTGTGTATTACAGCCTGGCAGCGTCGTCACATCGACCTTACATACCGTTGTACACATAGATAATTTTGGTGTTGGTGAGGAAGGTTAGCAAAGAAGTTGCTCTGTACTTAATGATTAGCCTATTTAGGTAGTTTGGTATTATGACACCCATGCCAGGCGCAACCTACAAATGATACAGACAAGTAATTACTAAATAAAAATATGCATTTTATGTTCGTCTTTGATAGAAACTGAATTTAAATGATATTCGGCCTTTACAATGCAAAGGAATTAAAATAATTATTTAAACAAATAATTTTGTTAGCAACCTCTGTTTGGTGTACACCAGCGTTGACCAATCTTAGGGCTATGCCACGCTGTTGTATAGATAATCTATCCATGTGGTGTTTTTCTGATATGTCGATCTCTGTCGTATCCGAGAATATCATGTGCAATTTTAATTCACCCATTCTCACATTTTTTTCGTGCATTGTGTGGATTTCGTTCGTTCATGGTTGAACGCACCTCATAATTAAAATTGACATGCTTGAGCACATGAAATGTGTGGAAATGCAGCCAATATAGTCAGAACACAAAATTTTGTAAAAATATATTGATGAACGAAAAAGTTATAAGGACATAAAAGGTGCACACTTATAAGATTTGCTAAGTGTATATACTGGTCTATTCTTATCATAGTCAGTTGTCAAGGGTTTAAATCTTAAATTACCTATGCTTGATGTATAGAGTGGAAATTAACTGAGAAATTTTGATACCACAGTTTATATCAAGATCATAGCTATTGTATTGGTAAGTTCACTGTTTAACTAATTATGAATTAATT